GTGTCCTCGTGATTAAATCAGATATCCTGAAAACTAAATAAGTGAAAAAGTGTAATGACTGAGCTGTTTTAGAACAACTGTTTTTACATTTTTTTTTTCTAGAACACATTTAGATAAAATGTACTTTAATTTTTATAAACATCAATACCGCAGAAATCCGTTTTAAACGGGGCCCGAGAGTGGCCAAGTGATTATCATCCCCGAATTGTAAAACGAAAGATTCCAGTGTGAGTCCCGTTGTTCCGAAAACACGCTTCGCTTTTTGGTACCGTTTTTGTGCTATAAAATATGTAAAATGTGACTATTCAATTGAGCAAGGGTAACCCAAGAGCTGACATATGTAGGTGCTGTTGACTAGCTGTCGCCTTCTAGTCAATTGTTCAAAATTAGGAACGGATATGTGTAGATAGCCTTTTTGTAGCTTTGTGTGAAATTCTAAAACAAACTATTGTATAAATATATATATAAGAGAGAAGTTTTGAAAGTCATTTTACTGAACAAACAAAAAAGTTAAAGGAAAATTACTTCAAAAACTTGATTAAAAAAGTAACAATATAGATTACTATGACAATATCACATATCCCTCAAACTCAGATAATGAGTTTTAATAATAATTTTGGGTGAATATGGCAGAAGTAGGTAAAAATGTAAAATATTGTACTAGATATTTTGCTAAAGAATTTGAAACATTTTGTTCAATTGCAGGCTATGGTAAAACAGAACACGTGGTTGCAGATTTGGGCTCCGCATTAAACGTTAGCAAGTAAATAAAGGAATTTTAAGTGTTTGGATTGAAGTTATAACCAATTACTTTATCTTATATTCGACAAAACTAGGTAAAATTGATGCTATATGCTCCCTTTATTCAAATCATAAGTTAAGTTTTCAGTTTGATGTTTATAAGTTATTACAATTATTTCCAATAGTTCCAATAAATCATTAACTTTTACTGCTATTTAATATGTCAAGCATATCAAGTGCTTTACAAACATCTAAGGCACTTCCTTATTTATTTTCTCCTTTTACCTCTATTTGTGGAATTCTGTCCTAGTGCAATTTTTGTATCAACTGTTCAATATATATATATATATATTCGTATATATATAAAGTACGCTTGCCTAATTAGGCCTAGCTTAGTCCATATTATTTCATTATGGTGTTATAACAGGGAGCAGCATCCACTTTGGCCCTGATTTTCCCAAGTTGAATTGAGTTTTTGGCCCAAACTAATTATTCGCCATAAGTAAACGAATATTTTAAAATGAATATGGCAGTTGGAGATGAAGAATCAAAAAGGAAAATAGAGATGAAGGAAGAAAAAGAATGTCATGTAAGTTGGTTATTAATATGTTTGTTTTCGCTCGTGTCTTTTTCCCCTAATTTCTATCATATCTTGTCAAAATGAGCCAAAATTGTAATTTTAATGATTAAAGATTTTAGGGAGAGGGATGGGGTAGAGCAAGCCCCAAATATTCATACTTTCAGTCGTTAAGTGGTTATACTTTGATTGTATAATTTTCATTTATTTAAATGTAGTTTCTTATATAAATCCTTATATACGTATATATTTTTCTAAATATAAGATATTTTAGGCTTAACGACATAATTTGTTTGCTGTGGACCCACATTTTATTTATCTAATTTTGTTGACAATTAAAAACAATGTATAAAAGATCTTGCATTCAAATTGCAATATATTTTAACTCACATACATGGCTGTATAAGAACCGTATATACATCCCTAAAACTTTTATGTTATTCAATTATTATATTGATTAAAAACGATATCACCGTATAAAACTGAACTGCATTTTTTTCGAGAAACATGATTTAATTCCAACGTGATTAAAAATAGTTGTTTCGAAAACACTACACGTTTCACCTGTAAATCACGCTTGTTCCATTTTGAACATGTTGGTATGATGGTGAAACAACACTACAGTAATCTTTAATTTGCTCTTTTAAATATACTTATAATTTTTTAAAAACGTTTATAGAAATATTCTTGGTAACCACTGCTTTGTTTTACTGGGTCAGACAAACACCCTCTGGCCTGTGTAGGATAAAGCATGATAATTTAATGAGTCTCAAAGTCAATGCCTATATGCATGACTGTATTACTATTACAGACTATAAAATAACGAAATAGATTCGGTAATGCTCTTTTAATATTCCAGTGATATGAAATGTTTGCATTTGTACGAGCATTTCGCAATAAATATCATATAAAATTGGATGTTTTCCTATTCCTTTGAAATCAGATTCTTTCAAAGATTAATTTTCAATATTTTTACATTTGAGCTTTTCAGTAATTTATTTTATGTACTTAGTATAATGTTGGTGCCACTAGAGGGCCAGGAGACTGTTGAGAAGTTTCTTCAAACGAATTCATTTCAAAATTATGGCTCCGACGTTGATTGTACAGAACAACTAAAAGTACTACAACTAAACTAAAAAGCGCCACAACAACAGCTACAACCGCCCAGGCCAACGTGCTATAAACTGCTTCTACTTTGTCTTCTACAAGAGGTAGCTTTGATGGCAATACAGTTGCTAAGTTGGAGAGTAATGGTAGGTGGTGCAACCAGAGGGTGACTTGTGTTTGTCGATAGTTGTGCTCCTTTTTCAAATCACGACCGATTGAGTAGAATAGAAAATGACCATTGTCACCTCTATAGTGAGGCCATTTATCACGATACTCATAGTTTAGGAAATGGGGAGTTTCCCTGAAGGAAAACAGAAAATATTATGGAAAAAATATTTATATAGATAAAATCATAGTAATAGAAAAATTAAAGGAAACAAATTAAACAGAAACAATATTTTCAGGAAAACTTACGAATACATTATATTTAATTAAGCTTTGAGAAAGACAAAAACACAAACTACTAACAGATAACGCCGTCGGTATCATTAAACGAGGTAATATAATAATGGGAATTCCCAAATGCATTATTAATGAGAGTATTGTAACAACTCATTATCTAACATAATTCTTAAAATATGTCACATTAGTGCAACACATATATATATACACACACGAAGTTTTAAAACATGCCATTTATACATTTTGTTTTGAAAGCTAGAGACAGACAGTGAATTATGTCCATGCTATCTTGTAATAGCAAAATACTTCTATCTTTCTCCTTGATAGGATATAATTTAATACCATTTATTATAGTACAATATTATAAAACAATTTTCCCATAGAAATAAAAATAACAAGTATTTTTTTTTCCAGTTAGGAGAACGTACAAATGTTCCCATTTCACTCGTGACAAAATATAAATAATAAATGTTCAAAAAATAAATATAAATAAAAGGCTTGCTAGACTTACATATAAAATTACCAAACTAAAACCCTGTGGAGATACATTAGGTTTTGTTATTGAGTGAACCAGTTTTACTTAATGTATGGTGTTAAATATTATTGATTACATTTTTAGAACATTAGGTTTTGTTATTGAGTGAACCAGTTTTACTTAATGTATGGTGTTAAATATTATTGATTACATTTTTAGAACATTAGGTTTTGTTATTGAGTGAACCTGTTTTACTTAATGTATGGTGTTAAATATTATTGATTACATTTTTAGAACATTAGGTTTTGTTATTGAGTGAACCAGTTTTACTTAATGTATGGTGTTAAATATTATTGATTACATTTTTAGAACATTAGGTTTTGTTATTGAGTGAACCTGTTTTACTTAATGTATGGTGTTAAATATTATTGATTACATTTTTAGAATATCTGTATCATGCTTAGAGATCGATAAATAATTTTGATTAAAAACAATACGTGGACATTTGGATATTATTCTCCAATAATAAGTTGAAACAAATGGTTTTATGTGTGTATAAGAAACTTAGAATAAAAGTTTTATTAGGCTTAATTATTAGGTCTAAATATGAATTTAAACGGTGATTTACGTTTTGGCTGTGTTTAATTGTGTTCCAATGCAACGTGATATTTAAATGCGCATTGTTCTAATTTCTTTAAAAATTGAGCCTGCCAAGATTAGAGCTACGAAAACAAAAGAAAAAACAAATGAAACGTGTTAAAAGGACACTTTTGGGATTTTTTAAGCACAAATATAAAATAAAATATTAAATTAATAGGTGTCTGTAAGTTGCGAATGTTAACTATCAAATAATTGATTTATTCTCGTCCTTATTTGAATTCGTTCTAAGATATTTTGTCCCCGCCTATGTTTCTTTTTGTCTTTGAGAACACAGTAAATTAAGTTAAATTATTTTAAGAGCAGACGTCACGTTTTCATTTACTATAAAAATATATCTTAATTCTTACCCATATTTAGCAAAATCAGTCCATAAAGTTAACATACGAGATTCTATAATTGAGTCTAAGCCAGACAGAAGGCGCTTTCCATCCCTTCGCAGATTAAATTGGTAAAAGAGTTCATCTCCGTGGGAAACAACTGCCAAATGAAACATATTGATATGATAAATTACAACAAGTTGTTATTGAAACATATATATTTATATATTATTTGTTTAAGTAATTTGACCACAACTTAAGAATCGCATAAAGCACTTATGATAGTTTCACGCAATAAATAAAGATGATTTGAAAATAATGTCTTTTTACCAACTATCACTACTACTACTACTACCTGTTCCATTACAGTTTTACTACATTGTTTTAGCGATATTATGCTTATACTTTTTACTATAATTAAGTCTGAAACTTAAGGTAACTTCAACGTACCTTCACCAAAAGTTGGATTTCTTGGCGCGTTGCTGTTTGATCCACGATACTGAAATACATAGAAGTAAGTTGGAATACCCAGTTGAGAGTAGGTTTTAGCTGTTTGATCAGTACATGACACATATAAGGCATCCGTTGTCATCTGTGGCAAATACATATATAAATGACAGTGAGATAAACTGATAGATCAAGACATAGGGATGCAGATAAAAAAAGAGAGAACTACATGAACTAAGAAACGGCTAAATTTGTAGAGAAACAAAAGAACAGGCAGATATAAATATAATAAGATATTTATTATAACCTCTCCCAGTGTGGGTTTGGAGACCTTTTAACCGAGATAAGAGCCTGGACTTAACGTGACATAGACTATATCGCCAGCAGTTTGCACTTTTTGAAACAACTCAGTCAAGGTCGAATTCATAATGTATTTTATATCATATAAATTTTCTATATATTTAATACAGAAAAGGGGTGAAACGTGAGTCCACACACCACTTCACACGTTTCCACTCATTCATTGTCCACAGTTTGTCTTCTAATCTCTAATCAAGCCATGTTTTCCTGGTTGTGTCTAAGATAAATGGTTTTTAACCTGGTTGTAAGTCGCCATACTGCACTAACGAGACGACTAAGAACTATTTTGTTGGAGCGCGGGGTGGCTCTGCGGTAGAGCTTTGGATTTCGAAGTTATATGATACCCCAAAATATTTCCCACAATTTAAGTTGTGGGTGAGTGCATTATTTGCGTAACAGCGAATATCTTAACATGGATAATGAATGATAGGGTTACCTTCCCTTTGGTCCAGTGGTTCAAAATTAGGGCCGGCACCAGATAGCCTTATTAGTTTTGCCATTAATACAAACTAAATATGCTATTTTGTTCCTCTTTGAAAGTCAGGAAGGTCCTGGCTCTTACCTATTGTCTTGAAGACTAACCATGATAGATAGATGTATTTATAGAACTCAAACAATCACTTGTCATAGTACATGATGATACTATTGTATACATGTAGCTAAACTAAATGTAATACTTAATGAACTACACAGATGACACTCAATCACCAATATTAATGAACTACAAAATGACACTCAATCACCAATATTAATGAACTACACAGATGACACTCAATCACCAATATTAATGAACTACACAGATGACACTCAGTTACCTAGTATTAATGAACTACACAGATGACACTCAATCACTAATATTAATGAATTACACAGATGACACTCAATAACCTAGTATTAATGAACTACACAGATGACACTCAATTACCTAGTATTAAGTTGTTTGTTTGTTTCTTTTTTTTTTAGTTGCATATCATATTATTTGGTGTTATGGTTTTAGATTAACTTTGAAATAGTTTTACTATATATTTTCCTACTTACATTTAACATCGCCAGGAGAACATGACTGACGTTTGCAACATTTATCCTATTGAAATAGTGGAACATTACACTCTCGATCACAGCATAGTTGGCATTGATATTTGTCGCAGCTTGAATAAAGTTGGGAACAAGGTTTCCACGGAGATAATCTGGATTTTGTTTAAATTGGGCCAAATAATCGCTTGTTATTCCTAAAAAACAACAACAATAAATCAAAAAGATTAAACATCTAACGTTTATATATATATACTTCCAAAAGATTCAGTTAAAAAAACATTTCACATGACGTCCGAAAGATGTCGATACATATGATTTATTTGTAATTAAGCACAAAGCTACACAATTTCGATGACGAGGAACCCACTTTGAGACTAATAATGGTTGGAGACCTGATGATGACAAAACCTTGTCGAAACGTTGTACATTTGCTGTTATGTTAAACTTATATTAAACTTTTTCTTCATTACCCATTCAAGCCGTCTCCAACCGTTATTAAAGCTACACAATGGGCTATCTGTGCTCTACCAACTGCGGGTATCGAAACCCTTATTCTAGAGTAGTAAGTCCGCAGACATGCCGCTGTGCCACTGGGGGGCCGATATGTATGTAAAATTTAAAACTGTACAAAATGAAGATTTCGTTTTAAATTAGCAAACGTGAAATTTCTACAGCTGAAAACATAAAAAATATGCCTAATTTACGCGAAAGAGGTTAGCAAACTATGAAGGTCAATAATTTTATTGACTTGTAATTATACAGATTTGTGAATAACAAAGCAAAAGTTCATACTTACGTACCCCAAATTATCCTAGGATCTAACACTTTTTACGAGAGTGTACGTGAAAGGACAGAAAATACTGTACCGAACAGGTTAAATATTTTCTGGCTATCAATTACTTTACACATAATTTAATTCTATTTAACCAACAAGCTTTTGAACACACTGAGAAATTATTTTTCAAGTGTGATACGACAATGAGAATATTCTTTGAAAATAGAAAAGGCATAAACCTAAAAAGAACATTACACTGTTGTTACGATAAGCCGAACTATAGGTAAAATCAAATTTTATATTTAAAAAAATCAATGAAATAAAAAAATGAAGGTTAAAAGACCGAATTTTAGTTAGGTGAAGATAAGTTCTGTATACAATCTTCGACTCTTAATACTCTCTCTTAATAATTGACCAATAATTTCAGTTACGAAAAAACGAAAACAAAAAAACATATGTCTAACACATATAAGTCTATAGTGTACTAATATTTCATGGTTTAATGAAAAATTGCTTCCGCTCAAGGTTTGCTTTTGCCAATGCGGAAGAATACATTTTTATCATAAGGTAGGTTTACTAAAACAATTAAAATAGACAACCATGCTAGTTGTGAGTAACGTATAATTTGCATCATTTTATTAAGCTGTAATTGACCATATCGATAAAATAAATCTTCTGTTACTTAATGCTTTTTTGTTTTTCGTTTGTTTTAGAATTCTAGTGCAAAGCTATGTAAAGGATTACTTGCACATAACCGTCCCCAATTTTGAACTAATAGACTAGAGGAAAAGGCAATAAGGCATTCGCACCAACCGCCAACTCGTGGGTTACCCGAATAGTGGAATTTTATCGTCACTCTTATAGTGAAACCACGGATTTACAGTCAGGAAACGGTTACCTCTGTGCTACACCCGTCCCATTTTATTACACTATTGGTGTTCGTAGTAAATTGTGTTACATATACCCTCGTCCCCTTTAGTAATGTTTATGGTTTCCAGTTTAATTAAATAATAACCCCAATGAAGAGCTTAGCAACTGAAACTCAATTAACCTCATCGTTCAAGAAAGACTTGCTCATAAGTCTTGACGATATTATATTCACGTTCGCGCTGGCGTTAGAATATCTTAGTAAAAACTTCATAAGACAATTGGATAAAAAAATCGCGAAATTTATGATTTAGAATAGCGTACAAGAGGCTACTTTTTGATGCAAATACTAAAAATTTTAAAATTACTCCCTGTCAAAGTAGCTCCTTCATCTTTGTTAACGCCAATAATTAGAGGAATTCGTCGGAAGTTCCCGCTCGCAAGAAGACGTCTTGGATGATCCGGGACGAAGGGATTGTTGGTAAATAAACCGTCAATAACCGGAACCGCTCGTAGTGGAAAATTTCCTAAAAGCTACGAAAGATTAGAAATTCTGTCAGATGCACATCCTTGTTAACTAATTGATTTAGCTTGTTAATAGGAACTGAATATCTAACAAATATGTTGAAACGTTGTGAACAAAATAAACAAAAATTTTACTCTGTACAACGGATAAAACCTTTTGTGAAATAGGAAATTTAATTTACACGAATGCGAGATACTCATGCAACAATAAACTGAGACTCGTACCTTTGTCGGTTACTAGAATAGCAACAGTGAAAACAAAACATTCAGATTGGTTATTTTGGTAAGCGCAAAGCTACACAGTGGGCTATTCTGCAATGTGTCTACTACAGGGAATCGAATCCCAGATTTTTGTGTCAGAAACCCTGGGAACATTGTACACACAGTTAACTAAAAAAAAAATATTTCTTAGAAATTAAATTGTGTAAAGTAGGTAACATCATTATCATTTAGCCAAAATGTTTATAATACATATTTATCTCAAAATTTATATTGCATGTATATATCAAAGACAACCATGCTAGTTGTGAGTAACGTATAATATTTTTCTCTTTTGTTATAATTATATGCAATGCTGTGTATATACATGATATGTTTTTTTTCTCTGTAGGTTTTGGATTTGACACTGTCAATGGTTGATTTATCATTCAGGAAGACTTTACATTGATAAAAGTATATTCAGTTAGAGGGTACTTAGAAGCATCATATTTGTCGAACGTGCTGAAACAGAAAAAAAAAGAATGTTTCTCCTTATGGTAGTGTATTTCCTAACTAGTATGAAACTCACCGAGTTTTTCAATGTCCACTTCAAAGGGTTGCACAAGTCAAAACGACTCACAATTATCGTCACATCTAAACAGAACGTTTTCATGAGTGTTTCGGGAAAGACTCTATGAGGTCTATAGCCAAAACTTCGAAATTCGCTAATATTTATCCCTGACCAATAAAACTGATATGGGTAAGGGTTGCATTTACCGTAAGTTATCTGTATTTTCGATTCGCTTGTTTCAGCACAAAGCTATACAATAGACTATCTACTCTGTAGCCACCGCGGGGAATCGAAACACGAACTTTAGCGTTGTAAGTACGTAAACTTACAGCTGATCCATCAGGGGAACCGAATTTTCGGAAAACAGCGTTCTTGTATTACTGTGTTGGTGATTAGCCAATTGTGTTGGAAAGACCTAATCAACTAGATTCTTATAAGTATATATCTCCAAATAATAGTCTCATGATACAGTGACCTACAATCCTATATCATTTGAACAAAAATTCATAATTATATACGGTTTAGTTCTAGTTAGTAGCTTAAGTCTTGCACAGTGTAGTGCTCTGTAACGAATTTGTTATTATATATTAATTTTATTATCGACGTTTGTTTAGATTACATTTATATTTAACAACATGCGTAGCTTATACTGCTAAATATGTATTG